AATTACTTGGGGCGCATGTCTTTACGCTCGAAGGCATATGAAGGCTGCGCAGGATACTGATATCCGGGGCAGAATTCGCTACCTATAGCAGTCTCGCGTAGAGTATGAAATAGGAAGAGCAAAATTTCGGCATTTTGGTCCCAGAAGTGCGCAGCAGCCTGATACTTGACATGATACCGATAAAAAGACCGTAGATGCTGGAACCGTATCGCTAGATCCAAGAGAGGGAATCGGGAATGGTTGGTGATAGTCGCGGTTGTAGCTACGGACAAGCGGGAATCTACGGCAATGCAACATGTGATCTTGGCGGAACCGGACCGTGCCAACGCCCCGAATGCGAAATCGTCTTAGTCAGATATCATCCTGCGAGATAATCAGAGAAGGATCGGGGATACTAGGATTTCACATCTTGGTAGCAAGATTCAGATGTCAGGCAGAATTATGAGAGTATTGCATCCGCAGGACTCAAGCCGGATAAAGAAAACTGCACGGAAGAGGAGCGGCACTTATGAGCGGCTACAAATCAATCAAAGCCTCAATTTCAGATGCAAGGTTTGCTCACCAAAATCCATGCTTTTTGTCCCGAACGGATCCTTTGCTGCTTGTTGCATCTTAACCTCAGACGGATGCTATAACGCTGCTTCTGCTGCTGCAATGCAATGAAAGGAACCCCAACATCCAGATAAATGCCTACACGTTACTTGCAGCGGAAGCTGCGAAAGGATAAAGACAATGAAACTCTGAAAAAGAAGGGAGTACAAAAGCTCACACAATCCCCTTTACAAGGCTGTAGCGTCGGCGATAGCTTGTTGTGGACCGGGAGGACAAGGACGATGTGGCTGGGCAGAAATTCGGACGCTGACTAATGAGTTGAAGGTCTTCGACTTGTTTTCATGGTTCTAAGTTCTCTTCCGACTCGGACTCTTCCTAACTCAGTAGAGTCTTGCACCTTGAAATGCAATGTTTAATTCCGTGATATTTGAACGCTACTGGTTTATCTACCAACTTCGTCAGCACTATTTAAAGAATCCTCGGAATTTTTAGCAAAACATCTTGCAACGTTTCATAATAACGTAGTCCATGTATTTTGGGCAAGAGTCAGCTGAGCGGTGAACATTATTCGTATTCTCTGCAGGACTACTATAAATACAAAGTGGGTACATGTAGTCGTATTTCAGGAGACATCACAGTGGTCATTTCAGAAGGATACATTTTTACCGACGATATTGCAATCATTGCCGATGTACTCGAATGGAAAACGCCGCCTGAAATTCAACTTTAAGCACCCGGCCAGATCTGTAGACTAGATTTATCACACACATTAGACACTTATTCGCATACATAATGAATGGCTGTACTCACGTTGTCATAACGGCCTTGTACGCCGGCGACGCCTCACCCTCAATCCGAAGATACTCCTCCTCCGCTCTTCTCATCCATTGCAAAAAGTGAGTGACATCGCCTTGCTGCAGTAACAATGTCCCGCCGTAGAAGAGGATCTGTGCACGATAGACATCTAGGCGCTCCTTCTCCACCATCTTCAAACAGTCCTTGATCTTATCGTACGAAGGTTTCCTCTGCACAGAGCTCCCGGGCGTGAGTTCCTCCACCAACTGATGGATCCTCGCCCGCCGCTCATCAGAGGCCTCAGCTTTCTTCGCGTCGAGACCGCACACCGCACATGAACAAATGAAAGAATAACAACTCCGCAGATGAGCTTGTCGAGCAGACCTGGGAGCCAAGACATGCGTGTACGAGATCGTGACCTCTGCTCCCTCCGGAATATCCCTCGTGGGACGAAACTCTCCAGTGAAGGATGAGAAATTGAAGAAATAGTGCGTGTTGGGGGTGCAATCGTGGTTCGCACGCGAAAGTAAGGGAAAGATACCGACGAACTGGTTCGCGGGATCCGGGTCTGGTTCCTCGGTGATATCAAGCATGAGGAAGTTCGTTTGGAGGATACCAGTAAGGGGATGACAACCCGATTTCGAATTCTTCAATGAAGAGATGGCCTCTCGTGAGGTCGGATTGAGGTCCTTTACGGCGGAGAGATGGAAAATACCGTTCACAGCGTTCTCGGCATTGCACTGCGGAAGCGTCTTCCGTTGTGCATAGACGGGCCGCTCGGCGATGATGAGTTCCCCAGCAAGGATCTTCCGGCGAGCGATCATGCCTATGCCTTTTCCCTCGACAAGCCCGAAACCGATGGCATCTCGGTTGTCGGGCGGTGTAGGTTCGTCCCACACTCGCCACGTTGATAGCTCCCTGACTTTAGCGAGATTGTCGATGTATACCATATCATGTTTGCCGTGAGGCAGGTAGAGAAAGCAAGGTGCGCCGGGTATTCTCGCGTCACTGAGAACTATGTGGGGTATTATGGATAGAACACGGGTTGTATCTCCATCGGTTGGAGGGTCAGGAATAGACGGCGACTGTAAGGGGTCCGATGAACGAGTATCGGCAGACTGTCGCGAAGAAGAATGTATTAAGAAGCCTTTCCTCATTACTGTAAGAACGGTCAGACAGAAATTGAGAATGTGCATACACGATAAACGAACCTGAAATCGATGAGCCGACGATGAGAATCCCAGGCTGGCGTAAATAGGTGCAGGCTAAAACGCCCGCTACGAAGAAAGCTTGTATTCACGATGCCATGCGGGTGATCGCTCCACAACTCCAACGCCCCATTGATTGCAGAGAATACCGATATGTACGGAAATCATGGGGCTACAAATTCGTTGGATCCTGAAAGATAGAGAGTCGTCGTTGCGCCCAAGTATACAAGACCGTAGGGAGAAATACAGTGTTTCGACCCTAATTTAGATGTCGTCATTTTATTGCATTTATTAAGGCGACGGAAACACAAACGTCTTCGTATGAGCATCTGTGTCATCCTCTTCTGTTGCCGACAGATTACCGACGCACTGGCGAGGAAACACTATCTGACGAACGCAAGTAGGCCATACTGTGTGTACAGATTCCAGACTACGAATGACTTCCATGTTCATGCGTCTACGTATATCCTTCCACCAGTGATTACTCCAAGGAGAACTCTAATATGGGCACAAAGAACTGTAAAATGTCAGCTGCAGAAGGATGGAGTTATAAGCGACGATCTTACACGAGTGCGACGAAAAAATACGAGTGTCTGGAGCGCAAGGGACTGATGCAATCACAGAGTGATCAAGCTTGTATCAGTAATAACGCACAACGTTCGCAGACTCGGAGATTATAGCGCCTATCTATTCATGTCGGTACGATGGCAGCTGAACCCCGCAGTGCTGTGTTGTCCCGATATGCCCAAAGTATCAGTAAGCTTCGTCTCGTGTACAATACGAGGAAGTAATCAGTACGCACCACTGACGATGTGAGAGACAGAAGTACAATTTAGACATTGCCTAGATCGAAGTTGTACATTAATTGGGCGCATAAAAGCCTACATCGCAAAGCGCTGAGACAATGCTTTGTCTATTTCTGGCTAGCTTTTCCCTCAGTTGACGGAAGGGGTCGGTGTCGAGTTTGTTACGCGAAAGGAGCCAAAACGTTCAAATAGTTAGATGGACACCGGCGAACGGCTTGGATGAAAACTAGGGTAGGGTAAGTAAAAGTGCGCGTGGCGGAAAGATATCAGAACAGACCCACGTTTGATAGATCTTCCACGCCCCTGGACGTCGCGTGTATCTGCCACGGTTCGGCAAGGAAGAATGACCACTGTCCGTCGTTGACCCTCTCGGGACAGATGCCCCAGGTTCGCCTATCATTGCCTACCTAATTAGACAGTTAGATCTCATTAAGCGATAACGCAGCACAGAATTCGGTTGCCGTGAGCATACATGAAAGCCGTCCGAAGCACGAGGCTTGGAACAGTTGCAGGATACAGCCTGCAAATATCCTCCAGGGAAATGAGTCTCTGTTGGTCTGCTCTGCGTTTGGGCACGTTCCCGTTCAACTTCCACCGGTGAAAATTATTGAGAGTAAGATGAGCCGTTCTCACTAGATATGGAAAATCCAAAAGTAACGTAATTATTCAACGGCCGTAGGAAAATCTTAATTAACCATACTAACCCAAAGCTCGCTCGGAGTCACAGCATTGTTCAAATAACCGTCAACATAGAATGCAGCAAAAGATCTGCATCCTCACCGAAAGTAGAACCTAACATCGAGACTTCATTAACGCACTTGAATCAAAAAGGCTACGAAGAAAAACGTACTGTAAGCCGGCAACCCGGAGGTAGAGGCTTATCCATGATGTCGTATATTTTCTGAGTCGAAAGAAGGATGAGATATACTTGCAAAGAAATATAGTATGGAAGTTTAGTTGATGAAGAATATGACCGGGCTGGTAGTGATCGACCGGTGAAATGCCTAGAAGAGCAAGGGCGGTTATTAGCGTCCTCCGTGGACGCCGACAGCAGTACATCCTGTATCCTACTCAACCATGTTGGAGAACGTCGAGCGTGCGCTTTCTTTCCCTCATCATATCGATTACTTCCGGTTCCGCCTGTCGTTACAATAGTTCCCCATAACTTGGAAATTACTGGCTCCCTGCGGTCGCGTACACAGCAGAAATTATAAGACTGTCTGTAGGGTGCGGACGTCTTCATGTATCTTCATGCCGCTCACTGCTTTCACAGCACTGTGAGTCTTGGACGAAATTCAGCGCATCCAAAATGTTGCAGAAGATCGATGGTGAGCTTCTTAATTTTCCGTATGACTACGGGTTTCTGAAATGGTTGTGGGAGCGTAGATACGAGAAGGCGGAGGCTGAACCAGATCGTAGCATGTGTCCGTTTAGGGGCAGCGTAGATACAGAGCGGCCGTTCCGCAGCTAGACGAACCCATCAATCCATTCACCTACCATCGACTACAAGCGTTCCAGTAGCAGCAGGGACCATGATCTCGGGACGGCCATTGCAATCCTATCTCAATGCCCGTCATGGGGATAGCCTTTCAGAAAAAAATATCGAATCCGTGTCCTGGGCTTTCCATGTATGTACAGTCCATCAGGCTGTCTTTCACATTCGGGTCCTTTACTCCGTAAGAATAACGTTCCTCAATCATTGGACGGGGTAAAAAACAAGGTAACGATTCTTGACTTCTTTTTGAAAGGCAGTTGAGTTTGTCTCAGCCTTGGTTGGTGGAATAGACAGTGTAGAGAAGATGCGTATATGTCTCGAAGTATGCGGCAACAGATATTTTCGCGCTCGTCATACTGATGTCGGACTCAATGTAGGATTCGTAGGATTCGTACCGCCACCACCATCTCTGTTAGTGGATGCCATATAAACTCGTGCTTTCGATATTTAAGTGCACGCATATACAGAAACCAGAAACGCTGACAAGAGAATATTGGAGAAAAGCCCTGCTGGGATTCCTGTACGTCACCTGGGTTTCATCAAGAAGACCGACTGTCCATGTTAGTATTTGTATTTATACGCGTTGCTGATGTAGTCTCTCTGTCTGCATAAGTCTTCATACTGATGGCCAGGTTGCAAGTCTCACCTTGTGGCGTTTAGCACCACATTTTGTTCTTTTTTTCCTGGGATCGACACAGACGGTGTCTTGCTAATGTCAGAGAAAAGTCAGGAATTGGCTGATCGTCTGAGCAGCGGCAGGCCTACGAATATTCAGCGTCCAACTATATATCCATGCACCGTCGTTAACGGTGGAAGCTCATGCAAAGTCAAGGTACGTACAGTGCGTAATGCGACGAATTTCTAATCTCACAAACTTGCGAAAGATCCAATGACTCATTGGATCAGCAGACGATGGCGTATATTTGAACCCATCAGATATCTCAAGTTGGGTCTGAATGATATCGGCCATACCGTGGACACTCATCAAGGGCTGTGCATTTTGAAAGAGTCCCAAATAACCGAATTGAAAGCTATTACAGCTTTAATAGAACAACTGCAGGCGACAAAAATTTACTTCTATATATATTGTATCCCGTCCGTACATATCTAATTCTAACTAGTGCTGCATGGTTTTCGGCATTTTCGTGAGATCCTAAGAAGCTCTGGAAAAGCTCAGGTCATCGACGTTGATATCGGAGTTACTTTCATGCATCGAGATAAAGTAAAGGCATGATAAATCTCCGGAAGCATCCATCTCCTCGCCGAGGACTCGATCAGAGCGTAAATTACACTTCTGAATAAGAATATCGTATCCACGAGGCTGATCATGCGATAAACAATCAAAATGGTGCACATGAGGGTTGTTATAAGTATCAGCGAAAGGTATATCAATGTGTCCAGTCTATCTATGCTACAAGCGCCGGGTTTTGCTAATACCATATGTATAATTGTGGAATGCGCTGAAAATTTGCATGGCCTTCATTCCTGAAATACCCAGTGAACGGCATATCCAAAGACAGAGAACCAATTCTGACCTATACACCCTATAGCGTAGATACCTTGTATAAAAATCACTTGATATTGACAATCCCAAAGGGCCCAGCACCGCCATATCTATGGCACGTCAAATTCTTTACCATTGATCGAGCTAAGTGAGATGACATACAATCGTGATATCGACAATAAATGTGCTTATACCACCAGTGATACCACCAACGAGGTAGTTCGCTTTCCACACATGGGCCCATATCTAGCAATGCCGTCAACACGCTGTAATAATTGTCGTCGTGGTCAATGAGCGCACGGCGCACAAATACGCATTGCGTCGTGAACGAAATCGTCAAGAGAATGTACAGCATGATGATGGTGATGCGCAGGAACGTATTGTGTGACCGCTTCCGAGGAGAGACTATATGGATAGTAACAGTTAACCAATGTCCTGGTCCAGACAGAAATGGTCCATATACATATAGTCCATAAAGTAACTGTTATGATGCCGGTGTAAAGACCTGCAAAGGGAAATTTAAATTTGAAATATTTCAGGAATAGTGGATGACCCCACCGTGCAACAGAGCTCCGAGAATAATACGGTTCAGATTCTGGTCAAGCTCATCAAAAATATCTCTCCTTTCATCTTGGGAAAGGTTGGGCGGCGGGGTCCTGATTAATAGGGTCCAGAGAGAATGTATCTTTCGGAGCAGAAAGCAAAATTCGCTGTGTATTTATTGGTCAGCCTGTTTATTTATCCACCTTTCATTTTTTGTCTCAATAATTAGGAGATCTTCTATTTATATAACACCGTTCATGTGTATGTCTTTTTCCCCACATATCTGGGACAATGAGAGCTGGCTCTGAGAGGAAAAAAGACGCAAAGAGGAGCTCAGGTGTGCTAAGAAGGCTGATGGGACGAACATCTGGTTTGGTTAGTTTGACACTGACATGTATTCCAGATGGGTTTCCCTACTTAAGCTCCGTTAAGTAAATTTCATTGTCCCAAGTTTCAAAGTGTCCCCCAAAGAGAGAGCAGGTCGACATGACCAAATTCCAAACACAGACATTTTTCACCTTGTCGATATCCTTCAAGGAGAACGGCAGAGTCCATAGTATCTGTACCAGTATGCTCTTGAGAGTCGGCCCCTCGTTGTTATTTACAAACATAAATGCCACTGCAGACATGACCCCGTAGAATACTCCGTCATCCACATTTTGCACCCGCAACCTATGGGCCATCACCCGGGGCGTAATCCTCGCGATATCAGCTTCGGACGCGTAGAGCACAGGAATGGGTTCGTCTGTGATTTTTGGGCCATCCATATCCATGGCAGCACCCCAGGATATCTCATCTATCACATCAAAGAATTTGTGCAAGGGGACCAATCGAGGCGAAAGATGTATCGCCATCATCCAAATCCGTGATGAGAGATGCATGTGTAAAATCCTCATCTTTACTATCAAAGATATCCTTTACATGGAGGGATGTATTATGCCGAGCAATTTCATTCTCAGAACTGATAGAATTGAACAAAGTGAAGGATGAAGAGTCAAAGGAAAAGCAAGATGGGACTGGGATAATATCGGCGCTATGGAAACGGATGTTCATCAATTGCCCAGTCTAGCAAAGCGAATAAGAATTAAAAGCGACAGTTTCGCCGATAATGCATGAATGACTTATGCTAGCATGCCTTTCCTAATGTCGCTCAGACTGACATCTTCCCAGATAACCAAGGTGCAGCGCTCAGCGATGAAGCTATCAATACTACTGAGGAGCAGTTTCAATGTATGTCATCCTTTGGTCATCCTGGTACTGTATGTATTTGTTCGTGACTTAACTCACTGATTCAAGTGGAATGTACTCTGTCCGATTAAGACCAAAAATCAGGCCGCTACCCATATTTTCCCTCAATCCAAAGTTATCGGCTCGTACCCTGCTAGTTTTTTGGTCCTTTCGACCTTTTAGGAATCCTCTTTGCAGATCCTGCAAAGGGGCTGATACATTCAGGTAAGAATGAGTTCCTGCTATTATTCTTAGCTTATTCATGAGAATGTAGGGCAACATGAGGGCCCCCACTTCCTTGGCTTCGCACGATTTTGGATCCGGAAGTGCATGCCTCGAGGTCGCAGATCTTTGTGGCAGTGATGCCGAAACTGTTTTGGAAATTTGTGGAAAAGCTACCGCTCTTTGTGTACCATATCCCTGTGGAAGGTATAGCCCACTTAGCATGTATTCTGTATTCACACACTCTCATTATCATGGCCGAAATTTCGCCATTTAGACCCTTCTCGTCCTCAGGCTCGACCCGAGTTCCGAACCGATACTACTATAAAGGACCCTGTTATTTGCCAATACTTGAATGACGTTGACCATGTCTCAAGCTCAAGTAGAATTCGATCCCAAGAACATGCCCTTTCGAAGGCTCGGATCCAGCGGTCTGCGCGTACCACTGTTCTCACTTGGTGGATGTGCGTTTGCGATTAGGCACCGGGAGGCTTCACTTGGATCCATGTTCACATCATTGATCTCGTAGGGCTTACACTAGGAGGCACCATCATAGGAGATCCCGTAAAGGTGCTTATCTTCGTTGTCCTTGCGAGCTTAGATCTTAATCTGTGGATAAGGATATCATCAAGACAGCATTCGAGAACGGGATTAACATGGTCGATACTGCTGAGGCATATGCAAAGGGACAGTCAGAGATGGAGATGTGTGTATACTCTTTATCCTAGTACTGGTAATAATAATCAAATAATTCATTACAGTGGGCGCGTCGTCAAGGAACTCGGTATCCGGAGATCTGACCTGGTGATCACCACAAAACTCTTCTGGGGTCTGCGGACGGGGCCGAACGATGGCGGATTATCACGCAAGCAGTAAGTCCGCGGTTCCACTCATTATTGAGGCGTGGCTCATTTCTTGGTCCTAGTATCATTGAAGGGACGCAAGAGGCTCTCGCTCGCCTTCAAATGGACTACGTCGATGTCATCTTTGCTCATCGATGTGACGTTACTGGTAAGCAGAGTGTTCTACTTCAGAAGTTTTCTCATCGTGGAACCAGTGCCGATGGAGGAGATCGTCCGAGCATTCAACTTTGTCATCGAGAAAGGCTGGGTATGCATATGGGGCTTCTTCAGATGTAACCACTATTCTTATGGTTTCTGTAGGCTTTTTATTGGGCCACATCAGAGTGGTCGGCTCGTGAGATCGAAGAAGCCCATCGTAATGATCCAGTACCAGTACCCTGGAAATGGTTTACTCACTCACTTTAACTTAGATGTCGCCTCTCGTTTGAATCTCATCGCTCCTATCGCTGAACAGTGCGAGCATAAGTATGTCCAAAGCATGATATTAACCTAGATTCTGACTTCCTCTTTTCTTAGTATGTTTCACCGCGAGAAAGCGGAGAAGGAATATATGTATGCTTGCTCACTCTGATAGTTGTTTCCCCGACTGATCCAGAGCAACTCAGACCCCTGTACAAGAAATATGGTCTTGGAACAACCGCATTTTCTGTCCTGGCAAGTGGGATATTAACTGGAAAGGTACTATATTTGTTTCCTATAGAACTTTCTCATTCAGTTATCTTTAGTACAATGACGGTATCCCTCCTGGTACGCGGCTATCCAAACCTGAGAACGGACTGGACTATATGGTCAAGGCCCTCAATACGCCCGAAGGAGAGGCGAAGATTCATAAAGTCCGCCAACTTACCAAGCTCGCTCAGGAGGGTAAGTACAAGTCAATGCGCTTCTTTATTTCTCCAGGCTCAGATCATGCAGAATTGCAGACGACACCGGCGGTCCTCGCCCTCGCCTGGGTAGCGCGGAACCCGAACACGTCAACAGTGATTCTTGGTGCGTCGCGCCCTGAGCAGGTTCTGGAGAACTTGAAGGCGCTGGCGGTTCTTCCGAGACTTACAGAGAATATCATGGCAAAGATAGAGGATATTCTCGACAATAAACCTGGACCTCTGGTGAGTATTTGATGGCATGCTTTATGAAGGTAAAATGTTAACTTGTAGAATGATAGTCTACAAATGGACGACCACCATTGGATAAGTTTGGGAGGCAGTGATCAATTCAGATATGACAGGATCGTAGCAGCAATTTGCAAAGGTTTTATGATATTTCTGCCAATGGATTTCCTTTTCAATTTACTTACTAGGAGGTTGATGCAATGGAAGTCCTGGCCGAATGGTACCGCAACTTGATCTCTGTCTTAGTCTCAGCTTTTCCTTGCTCATCTTACTCTCAATAACTTGCACCCAGTTTGAACAGGACATGCTCCAACGCAGAGTAGAATAATGGAGACTCTTTTACCCGAAGAATATTTGCATGATATATCCTGTCACTGGTCCAAGCCTTGTCCTTCCCCTATGTTCAATGTTGGATAGTCTCATGTTACATGTCTCATGCATATGGGAACCAGATTCTGGGCTGCATCTTGGCTTGCTGAGATATGGTTGTCGAATGGCGAAAGCACTGATAGGCGAACTTGTGGTATCTGTCCCGAGAGGCTTAACGACGGACATTCGTCACCCTTCCTTGCCGAACCGTGGTAGATACACACAACATCCAGGGGGGTAGAAGATCTATCAAACGTGGGTCTGTTCTGATATCTTTCCGCCACGCGCACTTTTACTTAGCCTACCCCAGTTTTTCAGCCGAGCCGTTCGTCGGTGTAAACGTAAAGGTTTGAACGTTTTTGGTGAACATGGCTGATATATGCTTGTAAGAAGCTGGACACCGACTCCGTCAAACTGAAGGCAAAGCTAGCCAGAAGTAGAAAAAGGATAATCTCGGCGCTTAGGGGTGTAGGCTTTTATGCGCCCATGTTGAATCTGGGGAATGTCTAAATTGCACTTCTGCCTTCCAAGGCTTTGTCAGCGGTGTATACTGGTCTTTTCTTTTCGTCTGTGTGCGCTAGACGAAGCTGACTGATAGTTTGGGCATAGGGTTACAAAACGGCATTGCGGAGTTCAGCCACAATCATACCGACGTGAATAGATAGGCGTCATAAGCTCCGAGTCTGCCAAAAATTTGCGTCATTGCTGATACATGCTTGATCCCTGTGTGATGGCATCAGTCCTTTGCGCTCCAGACTCTGGTATTTTTTCGTCGCACTCGTGTAAGATCGTCGCTTATAGCTTCATCCTTCTGCAGCTGACATTTTACAGTTCTTTCTACGCATCTTGGAGTTCTCCTTGAAGAAATCACTGGTGGAAGGATGTACGTAGATGCATTGACATGGAAATCATTCGTGTTCTGGAATCTATACACATAGTACGGCCTGATTGCGTCGGTCAGATAGTGTTTCCTCGCCAGTGCGTCAGTAGGATAACATGCACTTTATGTGTCAGCAACAGAAGAGGACGACACGAATGCTCATGCGAAGACGTTTTTTGTTTCACTTGCATTAATGAATGGAGTAAAACGACGAGGTTTACTTTAGTCCAAAACACTGTATTTCTTCCACTTCGGTACCAGACGATACTCTAACTTTCTGATTCTTTCAAGATCCAGCAAATTTGTAGCCCCATGATTGCCGTACATATCGGTATTCTCTGCAATCAATGGGGCGTTCGAGATGCGGAGCGATCACACGCATGGCATTCTGAATACGAGCCTTCTTCGTAGCGGGCGCTTTAGCCTTCACCTATTTATGCTGGCCTGGGAGTCTGATGTTCGGCTTCTTATCGATTTCAGGTTCGTTTCTAGTGTATGCATACTCTTAATCTCTGTCTGATCGTTCTTACAGTAATGAGGAAAGGCTTTTTGCTCTCTTCTTCGCGGCGGGACACCGATACTCGTTCATCGGATCCCTTACCGTCATCATCTACTCCTGAGCCTCCAGCCCATGGAGATGTAACCCGTGTTCTATCCAGAACACCCCGCATAGTTCTCAGTGACGCGAGAATACCCGACGCACCTTGCTTTCTCTACCTGCCTCACGGCAAACATGATATGGTATACATCGACAATCTCGCTAAAGTCAGGGAGCTATCAACGTGGCGAGTGTGGGATGAACCCACACCTCCCGACAACCGAGATGCCATCGGTTTCGGGCTTGTCGAGGGAAAAGGCATAGGCATGATCGCTCGCCGGAAGATCCTTGCTGGGGAACTCATCATCGCCGAGCGGCCCGTCTATGCACAACGGAAGACGCTTCCGCAGTGCAATGCCGAGAACGCTGTGAACGGTATTTTCCATCTCTCCGCCGTAAAGGACCTCAATCCGACCTCACGAGAGGCCATCTCTTCATTGAAGAATTCGAAATCGGGTTGTCATCCCCTTACTGGTATCCTCCAAACGAACTTCCTCATGCTTGATATCACCGAGGAACCAGACCCGGATCCCGCGAACCAGTTCGTCGGTATCTTTCCCTTACTTTCGCGTGCGAACCACGATTGCACCCCCAACACGCACTATTTCTTCAATTTCTCATCCTTCACTGGAGAGTTTCGTCCCACGAGGGATATTCCGGAGGGAGCAGAGGTCACGATCTCGTACACGCATGTCTTGGCTCCCAGGTCTGCTCGACAAGCTCATCTGCGGAGTTGTTATTCTTTCATTTGTTCATGTGCGGTGTGCGGTCTCGACGCGAAGAAAGCTGAGGCCTCTGATGAGCGGCGGGCGAGGATCCATCAGTTGGTGGAGGAACTCACGCCCGGGAGCTCTGTGCAGAGGAAACCTTCGTACGATAAGATCAAGGACTGTTTGAAGATGGTGGAGAAGGAGCGCCTAGATGTCTATCGTGCACAGATCCTCTTCTACGGCGGGACATTGCTACTGCAGCAAGGCGATGTCACTCACTTTTTGCAATGGATGAGAAGAGCGGAGGAGGAGTATCTTCGGATTGAGGGTGAGGCGTCGCCGGCGTACAAGGCCGTTATGACAACGTGAGTACAGCCATTCATTATGTATGCGAACAAGTGTCTAATAATATGTGTGATAAATCTAGTCTACAGATCTGGCCGGGTGCCCCACGTTGAACTAAAAACGGTGTCCGTCGTTTCCATGTGTTTACATCGAGAATGGCTACAATATCGTCGGTATGATACATTTAAGACATATCCTTCGGAAATGACCGCAGTGATGTTCCTTTCTGCGCCTCTGAAATGCGGCGACATGTATCTACTTTGTATTTATAGCTCTACCGCTGAGAATATCAATCCCGTTCACCGCTCCGCTGAATAGTACACAATGGACATGGACTACGTTACTATGAAACATTGCAAGATGTTTTTCTACAAAGCCCGAGGAGGCTTTAAATATGCTTTAATCGTACGGATAAAATCAGTAGATTGGGGCAGCAGCTTTTATAATATGACGACATTAAACATTGAATTTGATGGTGCGAGACTTGTACTGATGGGAAAAGACTGAATCGGAAGAAAACTTAGAACCGTGAAAACAAGTTGAAGATGAAACTCAAATTTTGCTTCGGCCGAATTTTTGTTGAAGCCACATAGTCTTTGCCTATGGACCGCTACGACGAGCTATCATCAATGCTACACCTCTGTAACAGGGACTTTGTAAGATTTTGCACTCCCTTAGTTTTTCCGAGCTTCATTGTCTTAATCCTTTCGCAGCTTTCGCCACAAGTGACATGGAGGCATTTTATGGTTCCTAGCATTGCATTGCAGCAGCAGCGTTATAGCCTTACTCTGAGACAAAGACGCAACAAGCTACAAAGTATCCGTTCGGGAAAAAAAGCACAGATTTTGTAAGCAAATCTTGCATCTGAAATTGAGGCTTTCATCGATTTGTAGCCCTTCATAAATACCGCTCCTCTTCCTTGCCGATTTCTCTCTCAGGCCTGAGTCCTGAGGATCCGTCACTATCAGACTTCTGCCTGACATCTGAACCTTGCTACAAGATGAGAAATCCCCATAGCCCCGATCCTTCTCTGATTATCTCACAGGCGGATGGTTAAATAAGGCGATTACTCATCCACGGTCTCTATCGATATGGTGTCAATTGTCAGGCTGCTGCGAGCATGCTCACATTCTGCTCCTATTTCATACTCTACGTGAGACTGCTATAGGTAGCGAATTCTGCCCCGGATATCAGTATCCTGCGCAGCCTTCATATGCCTTCGAGCGTAAAGACATGCGCCCCAAGTAATTGGACCCCAGGTCGAAGAAGGCTGCAAAACACAATTTAAACACCTCTGCATATTTTCACCCTGGATCCTGTGGCGGATATTTCATCACTGATTCTGCACTTTTCGATTGTATTACCTTTATAGTCCGTCTCGCCCACCCGAATCTTCGGCCTCGATCGGAATGATAGACCCTGCAATATAGCCGAGAGCTGGAGTCATCGGAGGAGTTAAGTACATGCTAGCTCTCTGAGTGCATTTTCTTGTGATTTCGCTTAATATTTTCAATGCCATCGACGTATTTATCCGACATCAATGATGCTAGCTATTCTCATACACAACGGTTTTATCAAATGATCTCGATGAGTAGGGAGCTTGTATGGGAAATGAACAGTCGAGCGTGCACCTATTCGTGATCTGTTAATTATTGGATGGATCTTTGATACGTCCGCACTTGAGGGGATCCAGCATCCAGAGGCATCGACTTTGAGAGGGTGCTGATCCTCTGATACATTAATGCGTTGAGGGTATGTGTACGTAAACTAAGATTCTCTCGATTATACTGACTGGGATATCTTCTTTACTCTCTCTGACGAAGAAGCACGTCCTACATAAAATAGCCTGTCGTATCCTGGTATCTAGCTGGACCCCTTGTGATGAGGCCTGGTCAGTACGAAGACACCTGAAGTATCCGTATCCGGATTCTTTCCTTGCACAGCATACTGTAGCAAGGTATCGCCTCTCGTTTTCCCGGATTTCTCTTCCTCTACTACTGCATCCAAGTTCCTTGTCTCCCGGACAATATCCCAGAAAGCCAAGTCGCTATCCTGTCTATCTTGCAATATAGAAGGCGATCTGATGGCGCAACATGCAGCCGTTAAAGCCAGGGAAGTACCGTAAATAATCCATAATCTCTGACTATGATAAACCCATATGAGCTGATCCTGTACCACTGATGCGTTAGCGACGGTTGCGTCGCTCATAGCTGTTATAAGTGCAATGGTAACATTTACTGGGATTTGCTCAAGTGCGCTGACGACATTATCGTTGTTTCGAGTGAACGTTCTGGCTGTTTCGTTAACCGAAAATACGTTACTGGACATCACATATGTGGAAAACACCCAAGAGTAACCCGCCGGCAATGAATTGGACGTGGGAGGGGGATAGACGAATCCATACAGAAGATTATAAAGTCAATTCACAATGGCTAGGTAACTGAGGGTGGAGGCATTGAGTTCTTGCAGCCTTTCGCAGTTAATAATTGCAAAGGGACTAAAGTTGGATGTAGCATTATACACAGGCCGGGGGGAGCCAAGGCCCTGGAGCAATGTGTTGAGTTCATCCAGACCGAGCTCTGTACATCGCAGAGCAGGTGCAGAGTATTTGATCGTGTAATTGCACTCGGTCCCACACCCTACAGGTGCATTCCAACCAACGAGTGTATCGGACTGTAATGCATTGTCGAGAATTTTTTGCCATGATGGAGAAGGGTGGTAATGACATGAAACTTCAACAAGATAGGATTTACTGAAGAATATTGTGGGCACGGAGATACTAGCACTGTTTTGGGGCGAAGTTGAGCCAACTTCGAGAGTTAGGAGCGAGGATGGATACGAGCGCAAATGCTTGCCAAAGTGTTGCCATGATGATAACAGGAATAACATTCCCGAGCCTTTTGGATGATTCCAGGTGGAGAATTTGGAAAAGGACTGAGTATACCAAATAGACGGTCCAATTGAAGGACAGTGAATGGTCAGCGGCGGATAAACCACCAGATCTTGTGAGGCCATGGATTCGGAGCTTCCGAGGTTTGAATATAAGATACTATTCACGGGTTGTGTCAGTGATACCGAGACTGACGCGGTACAGAGCCACTGGACCAATGTACTCAAAGCATTGGAGTTCTTTATCCAGGATTGGCCTGACACAGCGTGTCCTCGCAGGATAAACAGGTAGATATGGTGCAGTACAGCAGTAAATGCAGCACCGAGCAGTAGTCCAGCCATGACTGCTGGTGTAGCTCCTGGACATTTCCACTGAGCTGTGGGCTGCGACTCGACCAACGTGGCAGACGAGAATGAAGAATTTGTTTCCGAAGTTGTTGGGGTGGGGAATGATTGATCATCGAAAACGGTTTACGATGCCATACGGCGGCGTACACAAAGCTTAGCGATACTGTATTTCCAGGATTCAGTCACGAGTTCCCTCAATTCTCATTCCGTTGATAAACGGTTGATGATCTTGTCCTAATATAAAGTGCGTGAGAACAACCACAAAGCCCGAGAAAGAGATGCAACGAATAGTTTGAATCCTGTTCAAAAACAAAAGGACATCAGTTCGCCGGCCCGCTGGAAAGTCAACATGGAGCGTGGGAACAAAATACACTTCCTTTCCTTTTAATCACCACCACTGTTGTCGCTTCGGCTACAGTGAATGACTCCCCGTTTGCTCGTCGTTGTGCCAGTGTCATTGCTGGGTGATACAACGATGGCCGAAATACGACATTCATCTGTCATGGAATTCCCAAGACAGTGCAAACTGCGTCGACCACTATAACTCCACGGGATTAGCGTTCGGGACCTCAGCGAAAGAGACTGGCACAATTGGTAGCATATATACGATGAAACTCTAAAACTTTTTCTTGGGGACTCGTCAAGGTAGGCGTCGTGCATGCCAGTCGTCTTCGTATTCTCGCATGGCTTGGTGTTGCCTACAGAGGGTCGGGCGCAATGATCATCGGGAAGGTGTACGGTGCGTGCAATAGGATGGAGAATGATTAATGAGGTCCGTCGTCATCAATTTTCTTTTGAATGGCCACCAACTTTATCACAATCTCGACAGGATAGCTAGCGATCTCTGGTATGAAGCTGGCTACGCGCCTCTCAGCCAGCTGGATTTTGGTCATCAAGCAAATACCAATGTTATACTACTACTACCTGGGGACTACGGCATTCCCCCATGGATGACCTCGCCTGCAAACCGGCATATTCCAGTCAATTTAAAAGCTTGACGAGATATGGAGTGGCCAGGACGTTCCCTGAATCTTCTGGTAAGAATCTAATGTCTTCTGGGATGTTAATTTTTCAAACTTATAATGAGAGAAATAGGTCCCACTTTTTCCCCCTCAATTGCGAACTCTGTCTCTGCATTGACTCTGGTATCTGAATATCATGGGTGACTCCGCGTTAAACGTAGTATCGTTATCCTTTCTGGCACGTATTGTGGGTCTAGTCGAACAAGGACAGGCAGCATATCCTTGTATCTTCACTGGGGATTCAGGAGCTGGAATTGTATGGCTGCTATGAGTCCGCCACACCAGATTCCGTATGTGGACAGTCTTTAGTGAATCATGACATTGTCTAACATTTACTGTTAGAACACTCGCTCGTTTTTTTGCCGGACTTGGGCTCTTCTCCGCTGCTTTGATATAAATGACAATGTCTTCTTGGCGGAGAGCTGGAGATAACGGAGAACTGAACATCCGCTATTCAGGTGCGTTTGAGTGTGATATTCAGCTGATCGTTCTCACCCTTTCCTGCAGAAAGAACGTCTTTAGCATTCTCGATGCGCCGATAATCATATGAACGGCCTCGGGCACCCAGAAGCAGCACTAGGAAATGAACTCCGGTGTGCATTCGTATACAACCTGTCAACTCCAGTTGGGCGAGATGGATGCGTCCACGCATGCCGAGCTCCGGCGTCTGGAGCCATCGAGTTTCATGAGGTGCCTCCCTGGATACGTCAGTGTATCAGATGTACTTGTATGTCCAAATATCAGCCTGTTGACTTGGTCAATATTCACGAGTGGGTGGGATTTTCAAGGCACCGATTCCGAGGTTACCAGGCTGCTTTGCCTGTTTCTCACACACCCAGCACCCTTGACACGAGATAAAACCTAGCTCAGCTGTACCATCGATGTGTGTAAACGACACTATCGACTACTTGGTAATCCAATCGTCGGGCGTAACGGCAGCAACTCCGGGTTCGTCGCGGTAGTCTCGCAAATGTCAAGTCTTAAGGGTCCCGGTGACGTTCCCCTGCGTGTGTGGACTAAGGGGTATATTATCCCTGTCACCACCCTGCGCATCTGCCAGTGCTGCGTATATTAAGGTCCGCAATGTCAACGAACATTTTCCTCGTCCCACCATTATGTCTACCCCAATGCATCTGGTCGACCTCCCACCGGAGGTACTTTCGCTCATAGTCAACGACATGGACCGAGATACCCTCCTTGCTCTCTGTCTGACAGGAAAACGCATACTCCATGAAATAGCCCGTCGTTACCTTCGGCAGAATGTCATGGTACTGTTTGACGCGTGCCGAAAGCCCAAGCCCAACCTCTTTTCATTCGATGACGGTCGTCTATCAGCTATCAGGTCGCTCTCACTCGTCGTTCATGGATACATTGAGTTGGATTCCAAGTTATGTTCGTTGGTTTTCATGAAGATGGTCAACCTGAATGATGTCCGTGTGGTGGGAGGACCCGGTGTTCTCGTCCGTTGGATAGTCGAGAGCACGGGAGCGTCTCTCACGACCGTTGAATTGGAAGGATGCGATGCGGAGCCGCAAGATTTCGTTGGTATGGCTCCGGTTTGTATTCGGAGACTTGTCATTTCGCGCTGTCATTCGAACATACGATTTATTTTGGGTCCATTGACTGTGGAGGAGCTTGAAATGTATGGTCCAGGTTCGTCGTTCCGCGCATAGCCTTGCCATAGTCACCAACGAGCACACGTGAAGGTCTCGACGGCGAATGTATGCATGTTGGTGTAGCTTTACGGCGACTAACGGGAGGGCACCTGAAGGGGTTGTATCTTATCGATACGTGCCGAGATCGGGGGTGTCGTGATATCGTGCATTTGACGCGCGCTTTGGAGGTATAACCCCATTCGCTCTAGTTCTGTCGCGGTACTTATTTTATACTTTGGGACCACAGACGCGCCTAGGATCGCTCGAGGTGCTCGTTCTGGATATCCCACTCCCGCGGGGTGCGTTCGAGAAGCTGGTCCGGACAGTATCTGTGTACCCGGCGTTGAGGAGACTCTGCCTCGGTGGGGTTCCCTCGTCGAGAAGCTTACAGTCATGTGGTGGGTATCACACGCTGGACGTAACTCCTTTTTCTCTTATTGCGGTACGTGGATGATGTTGTGAAGCCTATGCCTTACTGATAGATCTCGTTGATGTAGAAAGCGGATAGGTCTCGCCTGCAAGAAGATTCAAAGGCGGCGGGGATGAATGCCCCAGTTTTGGAGGAGGCGGCGTATTGATGATACTCCAGTTGGTTATTAATTCACACCCATCTACCAGCGTGTAAAGTGTTTTACGACGCTGACATTAAATTCCAATACTCTCTCTGCAGGTCGTGATCTTTAGATTCAGTTGGTGATCTCGTTGGCAAGAAGGAGATTCGGATATCGTCTTCGCATATCAGAACAAGTCATACGCTTCCTGTTCGTTGCTTTTGTAGCAGAAAGATTAGAGTATTTCCAGCTATTTCATACAGCTGCATAGTAACGCGCTTTTTTTGCGTGCGTTTTACGCACCTTGGAGCCTTGAACAGGGATTTAGGGATATTCAAGGCTATTTCGGTGACTTCGGCGTGACTTTAGGTCCCGGAACCTTTGTGTAAAATGAAGCCCAGCGTTTCTTTTCTTATTTACAAAAACCACTACCACCGGTGCAGCCTCAGAAATTGAGCTAGAGAATCAAAATTCTCCGTGATCAACGCCGACATCTCCAGTTTAACCAGAAGACATCCAAGGGTTCTTGGCGCAAGACTTCCGAACTTGTTTCTCACTCTGATGTCTTACTCCAGTACTGGTCGCTTGAAAAAAATTTTCTGAGCGCTTTCTGGTGCCAGGGAGATTTTTGCTTTCACTTTACAGACAGAGAAATGAATTTTTTGATATCCATGACGGAGTCGCCGAAAGATGTCGGATATTTCTCCGGATTAAAGTCAAAGCCCGAGCCCTGCGCCATTTTTTTACAGAACTGAAAGTGAAAGCGGGCAGGCTGGAACTAACAGTCCTGCATGGATATAGATTCATTCCCTGGCTTGGCAGTAATGAGTCCTTCAACGTAGGAAACAGCGTTAGTAGGCGGCCTTTTTGACTAACATTGAGATCGGGACTCTCTACTCCGAGCGTCCGTCTTTTCTTGGCACGGTTGTCGTATATCGGATACAGTTGCTGCATCGTTTACGTGGAGTACACTCTCTGTTTCGTCATGTAGGTAGCAACAAGGGGAACTTTGGCTCTCTGGAATCATCGAAGACAACTACGGAAGACATGCTCCATCTAGAAAGCCCATGTACAGTCAGAAATTGTAATTTTATAAAATTCGAAGCAAGATATAGCAAAAACATGCAAAGAAAGGAGAAGGATCGATCACGACTCAAAGTGGATTCATTTGACCCCAGTGGCTAATACTGTCCGGAAAACCCGTGGTTAGAACTCTCTGCTCCAAAGCAACTCGAAACTTGGAACCGCGTTCCGCAATGTCAAGCTGAACGAGGGGAGAAGAGTTAAGTGCAGACAGACACATCTTGGCCTTTTCCGTCGAATATTCACCTCAACAGGTCCGATCCTGATGCTATCCAACATACCACCCGCAAGCCTTGACTCGACCATATCGAGGATAGGAGTGGCATATGCAAGCCAGCCGATCGCAAATAGCACAGTGCGTGTATTGTTCTGAAGAGGTAATGCGCGTAGTCTGGGTAATATTGAGGACGGTAAGGTCATCCTCTTGTATAACTGCAGGTCAAACTTGGTGCGGCATGATAGGGACTCGAGCGTTGACATTCTAACAAACACAACGAAGAGTTCTTCCGGGGCCCTATTCCAAGAAAGTCGATACTCATCAAGCAACATCCTCATCCATGGAGGAAGTCGAGGATATCACTGGAGGATGGGATCGCCCCAATTGTCAGTGCCTTGGGGTTCGGCGGAGTGATGCCGCCAAGCTAGAATGAGAGTCAGCCGTGTACTTCCAGACGGCACAGCAGGAGCAAGTGAATAGATCCTCGATAAACCTCATGGTTAAACGCTAGATCTACTTCAATAGACAGATTGACGACTGTCGACTTGAGGTTTTTAATGACTGCAGTGTGGTCACAATCACGTGGAAGAATTCCGTGCAGCGATCGGATTGGAGGCGAGCGAGCTGAAGGGACTTTTGCAAAATATTCCCAGATTGGAGGGGGAGCTATGACATCCAATGATTGCCAACGAGGGGATTCGGCTGAGAGGTGAGACAAAAATGGTCTCCACATTCAAAGGATGAAGGTTTCCTCTCCAGGAAACATGGGGGTAAAGTGAAGGGGGATTGTGAGAGGAATGTTTTATGAGTCATGAAGGATGTATGTGAGAATTTCCTCTGTCATGACGCTCGGAATTGTGACATGGACACCTTCCGCTGGTCGTCTCCTACACCAGGTTGCGGGATGGGACATTCAGAGTACCGTGAAAACGTGTGGAGATGATCTGCTACCATGCTTATGGTTGACCATAGGGACTTATCGGAAAGAATAGCGGATCTCCAGTCACTTTTCACTTGCCCAAGGACCCAGATACCATCGGAAAAGTCGAAAGACTGGATAGGAATTACCCGATCAGATAGATAATGGCGAACGATTTTGAATGGGAGCTCCAAGGGAAGGTGGGATGATGGCTCCATCGCTGTGGAAGAGAATATATTCCAGTTGGTGGATATTATATATATCAGAATGGACCTACAAGAACTTGTAGTCCAGACAATAATGGATGTTCGATATTAAGCGTGGTTGAAGTTTAGCGCCGGCTACCGGGACTTAACGTCGCCACTTTCCACCTCAACGTCCAGACAGACAAACAACACTCTGAATCTTGAGATGTCTTCATAGTCTCTATGATGCTACCTCCAGCAGGATCGCGTCGTTTCGCATCCTTCAATTACCCTGCTCAAGCTATCTCTTCAGTTTCTTTGCATTGATTCCAACTTGTAAAGACATTTACGACGGTGCGGTGATGCGCACCATACGCTTCACCTAGCAAGGAATGAAACAGTATAGGATGACAAATTCACCGTCGAAAAATGCAATCCTGCAGAAACTAGTCTTCTGTTCATCGTGATATGTATATGATCCTGCGACGTTTGTGTTCTACTAATGAGTTTCGTCGACATAAAAAGTTGAATCGTACGATTTTCTCCTACAACACAGCTTAATATTTCGGAGATTGCCTGATTGCTATTCCCAGGTCTCGTATGCACACACAGATAGACAAAAAGAATTCGGTAATTTTCCTATTCTGTATAAAGCTGCTTATCACAGGGTCGCTGATATTACGGTTTCAATCACATAACTGGAGATAAGAATCTACGAGAGCATCTAACACTGCTTCTTCAGCATCGTGGAGATCTTCAGGTTCGAATTTTGTTTCCATCTCGTAATCCTGATTGGCGAGGAGGACGAGATCATTCCAGCGGTCCTTAATCTCGTCACAGCATTGGTCTATCTCGGTCACCTCACCGGACCCACAAACAATTAACACGATCGACTTGATGTCGTTGAAACTTTCCTCATTCAATATTCTCTGAAGTTTGTGGTGAGTGCGCCCCAATATCGGGAGCTCCACTTTCAAGAAAACGAGTGATTGAGTTGTCCCTTCGCTGGCTACGGGTTTGTGCAACTTCAGATAGTGTGTGGATAGTGAAATTCTGCTTTACCATATTCTGGCGAGCTGCGTATCAGAGCTGCCATGTGATCATAGGACATCTTCGACATCGTCAGGTCCTCCAGTGTAAGCCTCTCTTCATGACAAAATAGAACGAGTTGCGTGTTCATGCGGATTCTCTCGTCGAAAGTGAAGTTAGAATGGGACAGCGTTGGATAAAGTCGACTAAGAGAAAGGGATTGGCATCAGGAAAGTCATGAACGAATACGGACTTGATGGTGTCTCCATGTTGATAGGCCTTTTGGACATCGGCAAATGAACTGATGAGGACAACCCTGATTGATGGTCGGAAAAGATCCTCAAGAGAGTCTGAGTGAGAGTCCGACTCGGAAATTGCACTATACGGTGAGTCTGGTGTGATTAGCAAGGAAAGTGGACTCCCCTTGATTGGAGAAGGTGGAGGAGGAAGAAAGGGGTGGTGGTGAGTGTGACTAGAAAGGTCTGCTCCTGAGTTGCTTCAAAATACAATGGGGGCAATTTGAGAGGGAAGTCGGGCAAGACGACATGACGATCATGCGCTTGGGCGTCCGAGACATGAGAAGGGGATGGCTGTAGCTGATTCATGGTCTGCACAGTTGGGATACCTAGTATGTACGTGGCTGCATCTTTTTTTATACTTGGAGTATGAGAACAAGGAAGAGATTCCATGGTGCGACACCGTTATTTTTGTAGTTAAGGGTGATGCCTCGTGTTTGATAGGTGCTTGGTTTCGTGTAAGTGCGATGAAAACGTGAGAACTTCCGAATCACGGACCAACGGGCTCGTGAGTAAGAAGACGTTGAGTAGACAATTAGAAGATTTGTTATTATCACGAGTCCCAGAGAAACCAAATGGGTGACTCGACAAACACAAGGATGGCAGATGTCAGGATGGCTAGAGATTGGAGGAAGAATGACCGACTAGAAGCATGGAGGAATGATAACCATGGAGAGTGACAGCAGTGGCGAGTCTTCGCTATCCAGCAAAGTGACTAGGTGTCCAGGCCTCTTGTTCCTCACCACTGAAGGAGGCAGTTATCCTCCGAGTCGATCCTCCATGGCTGCTGAGACTGATCCCGTATATTCGATCCATCTCCTGGAACAGAGTTCGGATGTGTTCAAAGAGCATGAGGTTTCTGGTTTGGATCTCAGATATGGAGTTTTATCACCTCCGGTGCAAGAAATGCTACTGGCGCGATGTTTCTCCTGCCGGTTTTGTTTCTTCATCGTTGTCCCTCTCATCGTCTGATGGGAGGAATGCACTTGGAGAACAGATATCGCAACAATGGATTTTTATGACGCATCTCGTGACTAGTGCGCGAGAGGAGAGCTCAGGCCGGAGCAGAATCTCGAGTCTGACATCACAGGTACCACGGCAGCTGCTCAAGAAGACGTACAAGCTATGAATGCTATAAGTCATGCACCTCTTGTTCAGGCAGAGATGAATGTAGGAAAGGACTGCATATTATGGTGACATGGTGACTTCTGAGCCACAGGCCGGTTCATTGTGGCCGAGTTTTGTTTGGAGCGCTCAGAGGGATAGTCTATAGTATGGTGAAGAGGTTCTAAATGCGTGCAATATGATTGCGGGGACAGCAGAGCATTTTCCACTGACCACACTCACACCAACACACACACAAAACTCTTAGTTCGTGGGGGGATTATAATGCAATAAAAGTAGCAATCAACAAATATAATCATCTTCTTTAATGAGATCACAGTACACAAATGGCAATAGTGCGCTTACGACAGTCCGAGGTCTTTCTAAGTCTCAAAGCTTTTCGTTTTATCAAAACAAGAGGTGGCAATGGGTGTTGCCGGGCCTCAAGGCAAAGGGTACTGCAACTCGATACAATATGTCGAAACACTCCTTCAAAACTCTCAAATGGTTCCAAGCACAGCTCAGATCAACTCAATTCCCTAACACACACAATACACAACTCAAAGCTTTGCGCTCTAAGCCAAAAACCAACCACAAACACATCCACAAGTGACCAAATGCACAGATCCCTGTTCACAAGTTTCCAAACCGATCGTAGACCCACAGGATTCAAACCTATGCAATCCAGAGACACAAACACAATAAAACCCTGTCCAACAGACCAAAGGGTTTGAACCTCTGCCAATCTGTGGAAATAACACAACAGCGCACACTAATCAAGCCAAAGGGTTCGAACCTCTGCCACCTGTAGCACCGCACGTCACAAATACCTCAAAAACTCAAGATGATGCCCTTCAGACACTGCTCTCTTATTCTCAGGTTAGAGTGCAATCCAAAAACTTCTTATCAAACTGGGCTTAAGTCCCTCATGAGCTTTGATGCCTCACTTAGTTCTCACAGCTCTCTCAAGGGTATTCAATAATAGGTTTATTTCTCTCACCCGAAGTTACAAACACAAACCCAGAGCTAGAGTGCCAGGCTTTCTGTGCCCAATACACTGCAACTGTGGGGGTCGGAAAACTTTTTCCCTCCAGCCATACAAGGCCATATTTAAATACTCTACTATGGTACTTACTAATACAATCCTACTATGGTATCCTCAAAGTGCGGGACTCCATGCCGGATCCCACTGGTATTACTCGTGTGCATGTCGCAGTTGCTGCACTTATTCTCTTCTGGGTGATGACTGTGCCCACTGTTCCTTTACTAGCTGACATCGGCTAGCTGGCCTCGCCAGGTCTACTCGCTTTCTTATCTCCCCAGTGACATTTCTGACAGCGGTAAACTGTCCCAGACCCCCAGAGTTATTTCTCATGCCAAGAGCCAGCCACAATGGCTATGTTCTGCTTTCCTGTGTCCAACCAGTCATTCCATCTGACTCACTAAAGGTGCCGCTTCTCGGTACGATGTGGAGTCCCTCGCTGTGTTATGTGCACTAAGGCACCATATGTATGCATGCAAGGCTCAGGGCAGTATCCATGCTATTCATTCCTGGGGTAATATTCCTCTACTTGTTAGCTTGTTGTCATCATGCTATCTCTCTGTTTGGTACCCATTTACTCAGATACCTTTCTTTGGGTCTCAGTTCTCTGTTCTAAGGCATGTCCCATCAGTGCATCAATGGCTGTGCATCTTTGATCAATGTGATCAGAATTGCCGATCATATTTTGATCATAGTCTTTTTATTTTTAGCATGCCCTCTTATAATAGTATTGGCGCACTTAGGGCCAAGTGCTGGGACCTCACATGCAGCCTAACCCCTCTGGTATTAGTCTGTTACTAGGCCATGCACTCTGCTTATTGTTACTCCAGTTTATCATTATGATAGTGAGGTTTCTGTGTGCTCTAGTCCTATTTTCTGTTACATGCTTACTGGCCTGGAATGCAGCTCATGTATTCGCAATTTTCACAATTTTACATGCCTGAACAAGGAGAGGGTGTGTCAATGGACTAAGTCTCAGTGATGAGGCTACCATCCTTGATGTTACCCAAGCTGTGCAGACTTTTCTGATTATCTCGGCTCATCCATAAAAAGTGGGATCGGTTTCCTCCTTGCCCCGTTGCAGATGCTACTCCCATCATCGACAAAAATAACTCTTGAGTAATAACATTTGGACATGAGCAAGCTGCCACGAACAAACTTCCAACTTCTGGTGTTGAGAGGCAATGTTAGCCGTTGCACCATGTCCGACCCTGCGCAAGTTTGGTATACGCTTTATGAATATTAAGCACCTACTGCAGGACTAGCATAATATTATATTCCATCAGCATGACATCCAGACACGGGGAGTCGAACCCCGAGCTGATGTGTAAAGTCAGTCGTTGCATATGAAAGGCAATAACATTAGCCGTTACACCATATCCGCCTAATTTTTGCATAAAAAGATACATTATAATAATAGTGAATCTACCATTCTAGTCAAAACAAAAGTTCGACGACTGCGAAGGAGCGAAAGATCCGTGGCCTTGCATTATTATCCGCTTTGCCCCGGTTTCAGCCCGATTAATCGGTCAAATGACGCTCCGTTGATGGGGCAAACAGGGGAAAGATCCGCCACATATCTTTTGTTCCGTATTCTTTGACCATTACGCTCGAACCCAACATGACCGCTCTACCAAGTATACAGGAAATTTTCCCTGGTAAATCCCCTCCGTAATCGCATATCGGATGAAAACCGATCTCAGCAGGGTATCTACGACCAGTACCTCCACGGGCCCCATCCCCCGAACTCTACCCGACCGTATAGATGATAAGCATCGATCGAGCCGGCTGCGTTAGCTCGTCCTGATGTCTACCACGATCCAGCGATTTTCTTCATCTCTATGCCTTGCACCATCCTCCTACTGCCAGCCTCCACACAGCCACCTTCCTCCTTGTGGCACGGTGTTATGAAGCCGACTCAGTGTGACGTACACGTCAGGCACAGGTCAGGAGGTGATCTGGTTCCCTAGGTAGTACGGTGTTATAAGCTCCCTATGTTAACCATCATTTCGTCATATTGCCTTTTTGAGCTGTTGTTTTTGAGCTCGTATTCTTAGATTTACCATCGATATCAATCCTAAAATATAACGCAATACAGACATTTGTTAAAAGTCGTGCGCTGGTCTCTTCTTTCTCCCCAGCATTGTCCTGTGCTCATCTTTTTTTTTTTTTCGTTTTTCAGGCTTCTACATTAAAGGTTATGGTAGCGCAGACGCGACGGAGTCCCCGTGATACCTGCTACGACGCTTCTGTGGATAGTGATGATGGCGGTGGTGTTCGTTCGGGCCAGCTAGATGTGCATGTCTTGCACATTCTCGAAACAATGTCCTCAGGTCAGTGTCATCCGTGTTGTGAAGTTTGTCATGCTAACTTGGGTCAAATCAAAGCCTACATTATTAACTTGGTAGGAGGGGAAGCCCGCCGCGAACATTCCACCATCCTGGATCCAATTGAACACAAAATACAGCTGCTAGAGAAATTTGAGATGCAGCTATTGAGGAAACTTCGGTTGTCAGAGTTGGATGTCGACTCGGTTTACCTTGTCTATGAAGCGTTGCGCAGCAAAGATGCAGGCAGTGTGGCAATACTCTGTAAGCTTTACGACTTCCACCTTCAATATAGTCGCGCGAAGCGACGTCTTCCGGTCAAACTGAAACCGTCTCTCTCTCCCCCAGGTGTCAGTCATACCCTTACCTATACCGATTGGATCAGACACTGACTGATAGTGTTCTAGCCCCCACACCGTGTCGACGCTTCTCGATTTTGGGCTGTCATCATTGGTATCGAGAAGTATCCGACCTACCCGTCGCGTGGCTCCGTGCGAGACGCACTGCTAGTAGAGAAATACTTGATGGAAGATCTCGGCATGCGCAATGACAGAATCCAGCTGCTTCTTGGATCTGAGGAGCATGTCCCCCTGCCGATCCAAAAAAGCCTACCCGTGTTAATATCATTGGAGCGCTTTTAAGCATCATCACGAACCCCCAGATCGCGTATGGTGACAACATTATCATATATTACTCTGGACACGGCTCATCCTACCCGGCGTCAGAGCCTGATGATGACGAGGGAGAAAATGGGACCGTACCCGTTGAAGCATTCTGCCCCATTGACCGTGACATGCTGGACGCCAACGATAATCCCATCCCCGACATCAGCGACCGTGAATTTAACACCATCTTAACCCTCATCGCTGGAGTAAAGGGGCACCATATCACGGTTATCTTCGACTGTTGTCACTCTGGTAGCGTCAGCCGGGATTTGCCAGAGCCGGGAGCACGTACCACTCCCCCAATGATTTGCGCCACGCGTCAGGAAGTACTCCGCGCAGGGGACGATTATCTGAAGAATTATCCTGGCTATCGTTCAATTTTAGCGGATGATTGGTGCCCAGATATGACGTCGCATGTTGTTCTGGCGGCCTGTAAGGAATATCAGTTTGCAAAGCCGAAGAAAGTCAAAATGGAAGATGGCACAGCTAGATACATGGGAATTTTCACGGACTCGCTTGTGCGGGCTCTCCAGTCTGGCTACTGGAAAAAGGAGACAACGTACGCTAAACTCGTTCATTGCCTGGATAAAACGGACCGCCAGACGCCAGTCGTTACTGGAGAACGCAAGGGCGCGCGCATCTGGTATCAGGAATAGACCGTTTCCTTTATGTTCCAGTCGCAGGCGTCAGACCTTCCCCCGTTTCGTTGTGTGTTATGCTTTTTTGATGCTTTTGATGTGTATTCTGTTCGTATTTATTTAGTATCCACATTACAAATATAATCATGTGACTCCCAAGTTGCTAACGCATAGCTGAATCAGGGATTCGGTCTACCACATGACGATATAAGGGGGGGTACCCACACTAACATCAACAAAGGCAGAAAACCTGTTGGAAAGGCAAGTTTAAATTGAAGGAACCATAGGCAGAGGACAGTGCGATTGACGAGCATTTTCCCTGCTGGCGTGACGCCTCTATATTATATCATCTACAAGAAATTTGTAAGAAAATCAAGATAAAAAACGTTCATCAGATGGTAACATTAACAGAGAGGTTATCAGATGACCATCCATAGAAAGTATTCCCAGCGCACAGGCCGGACCAGCGATGTTATGTTGACTAGGGAAAGTCACCATGAATGCTAAGATCTTAATACTTTACTCGTCGAGCTTGACACTCGAAATTGAGACTTACTTTAATAAACAAAACGTTACACCTTTTCTTCCTTGTTCTGACCGACAGTTAAATGCGCACCCTTCCCAAACGACTCTCCTTCCTTTCGGCTTGTCCTTCTCCGCAATTTTGGTACCTATAAGAGATAATACGAGGCGTCGAGCACACAGGCAGGAGTCGCTGGAGAACATGAGGAGACGAACGGTGACGGTCGGAGTAGGAAAAGAAGGATTCGGACGGATTCCGGTCCGATTGCGGAACATCAAAGAAATTTGTTTGTGTTATACTTGAAAGCTGTCGACTTGTCCTTTCGATTACTTACCACGTTCAAGGACACCATTCTAGTACTGTAATGCGCTTGCATGAGGATGAACTACCCTGATCTGATCAATACAACCGCTGAGGCCTCATTTCCCTCCCAGGCGATATTCACCGCCAACGGCTCGGTGAACTCAGAAAGCTTAAGACGCGCTTTGCTCTACTATAACATCGAGCTAATATTTTGAACCCACAGACCCGACCCGACACCGCACATGATTTATATATGTAAAGGCTGGTCAAAACGGTGTCTTTCTTCCTTGGTGCGAGATGAGACGGATCATGCGGACCATGGCATGTTTCCAATCTAGAAAGAGTTGAATGTTGGACGTTGAACGTTGAACTTGGGCGGGTAAGCCGCGTATATGTCTCCTCCATTCATGCGCCGCAGAAATTTCGTCGTCGTCGTCTTCTTCAATCCGATACAAACCGCGCACACGCTCACGAATACAAAACCGTTCACCACAGGATATGGGAGATTAACTCGAGCACGTGAAAGTGTTATATAACTACATTATTTAATTGCAGCCCGGCTTGACCAAATCCGTAGCATTCACGTTTCGTCCGGTGATGACGGGTGAGCCAAACGCCACCAGGTTGCAGGCAGAGGGAAGTATCCTGATATGTAAAATAGGCCTTGACTGGTGTAAGACAAATGAGCACGGTTTTCTTGCCATGTACTAATCACTATATGCTGATGTTCCCTCTATTTCACGTCATCTTGACGCACTAATCGTTCGGATGTTATTGTGTAATGTGTAACGCTGCCTCGACCACGGCAACTTGAGGTTCGAATCCCCTTGTCCGAAATCTGTGCCACTTTCCTGAGGCCTTCTAATATTTTGGCTCTGACCTGCCGTGAAGAGAATACACACAGGTAATGCGACTGTGCGAAATAGATATATGAGCGCTATCCAGAAGTCAGTGTTGGAGTGGCAAGAGCTGCGGGCCTTGAAACGGAGAGAAGCAGTGAGCTATGTTAGTCGGAATGAAAGTTATCTTCTGTTGATTACGAGCGGGAAACACGGAAGACGAACACTTCGTGGGTCAATACGTAGAGCGACAATACTCAAAATCTGGACGAAAGTACATCCAGTACAGTCTGCAAGACATATCATTATATAATAAAATCAACCATAGAAATCTCATCGAACTGACCCAAGCATCATCATCCAAAGCCTTAACGTTCTGGAAAGCCGATTCAAAAAGCCAGAATTCTTCGTCCGCCCCTCCGCCCTCTGGTTGCACACCAGGAAGGAAATGAGCTCCTGCCCTGACTATCCTCGACGCTCCTTATATCTGCAACATGACAAGAAATGATTCGTTGGTACGAAGCGTCATGTGGCTCTTTCTTATATTCGTTGCTGTCAAGCTCGGAAGGGTAAACAATTCACATAGAATGGTATGTTTAAGATTAGTCTCGTTTGTTCAGGACACTGGCATATAGTTGGCGTAATGAGCGCGGGAGGTTTTGTACATCCTAAAAGCTATTGATATTAGTGAGATGTCACTGTCGCGACTCGGATGCGAACGGTATCTCGCTGAAATAACCTTGAGAAATATTTTCCATGCTGGGAACCCTGAAATAACTTCACAGCAAGTAAACATCACGGCCCACGATCATCGCTAACTGAACATCCGTTTATGTTGCTTTAGCCTTTCGATGCCCATATATCCTGGTTGCGGACGCTCGTTCAACGTCAGCTCAATCATGTAGAGGCATTACCAGAACCATTCGATGATGTGCAGGCCGGTGGCGAGCATTTTCTCCCCAAGGAACAAAAAATATGCATGCCTGGGTCAGCCGGGGCGGCCTATTCTGGCTATGATCAGAGCGTAATATTTGATGCGGATCCTTCCCTTGTTTACCTCATCAATGCACCGTCATTTGACCGATTAGTCGATCTGAAACCGCAAGGCCGAGGATCTTTAGCTCCACTGTGGAGTCACTAAACCTTTTCAAACAGTCAGTCCATTTATGTCTTGAGCAGCGGATTCACTTGGATCGGATATGGGGTAACGGCTAACATCACCGCCTTTCATTCAAGGCATGTGGCTGTCCGCGGTAGCTCGGGTTTTCATTCCCCGCACCCGAATGTTAGGTTATCAAACGGTGGACCCAAACATGTTTTTATCATACTGAATCTCAAGTCCCTGTTAGTCAGGGACATTCCTATATTCTCAAATTCTTCCATCGATCAGAATGTTTCTTGGTGCTCCTTGACTTTTCTTGGGAAAGATCTCTAAGAAAACTTGTTGTTATCTTTAATGGAATGTCAACACTGGAGTCACTATCATTCTGCACCAAGCCTGTTGGGTTGCTTATTCCCTGCATAAACTTTTGAATATAGAATTAAATGAAAAGCAGGATTTCTCCATGGAGAAACTGAATGATTGCTAACAAGGAGGCAGAGAGAACTGAAAATTATTACAGAGTCATCATGGTTATATCAACACTTCACATGCTGGTAGGTATGCATCTACAATAAACAACCAGAGTTCCTTCTGTGCATTCACACTCCATAGGTCATCTTATCCTCCCAGACTGCAACCATATGTAACTATCTGTTTGTTATAACAACAAAATTTATCAGCAAACTGAAGCAAAGACTATCTGGACAATGGATGGCAGTGCAGCACCCACTGCAGAACTAAAATAATCTTCACAAAGAGAAGCTGCCAATGCAGACTGTCCTCAGTGGTGTGGCACCAAACACAGACAATTCTCAGAACATGTTCTCAAGCAGGAATGGGATATCCAGAATGAACATCTGGAATGATGAGAATCAATCAGAGTATGTGGGGGCCAGCCAAAGTATTAGCATCACATCATATTTGAGGGAATGGACCTTACTTCAAATGATTGCCTCAAATGCATAATATCACCAAACCCAGCATCATGACCAACTTAAAATTGGTAGCACATGGGGTGCTGGTTTTATGGTGGATACATATATTTATCCACTTCAGTTCATCCACTGTCCTTATAGTTCCACTTTTGAGAACCAGTCTGGCAGTGCATCTTTGCATAAAGATTCACCATATCTCTCATGCCTCATGTTATGATTTTTCCTATTTTCTTTTCTTTCTTCTCAGAAATGACCCCTATCTTTGCTTAGTCAGGGCACTTAGACCAGCACTTAGGACCATGGGAATGCTTAGCTCAGTAACCCAGTCGGTCACTCTCCTATCGCACTGCTGTGTGCTGTGAAGGGAGAGACAATACCCCTTTTGTCTCTGACTTGCAGTGCAATGACAACAGCACAACAGCGAGACAACAGCCTTTGTGGAGAACCTGGCAACAGCAGGGGTAACAGCTCTACAGCAGATAATATCTTTTGTGAACATTTATTTATAGTGCGATAACAGAACAGTATTTAAGTAGCATAGCTCTCACTGTAATACCCCAGCTTCGAGCTAAAGTTTTACTTTCACCATCTTATCTCAAGCAAACTGCAAATGCCTTGACAACACAACACTAGTCACACACAAGTGGACTCTGACAGTATAACCTGAAGTGTGAGGTTCTGTCAGTTTATCACATGTCACTGGTCATGTGGAATTTGGGCTTAACAATTAGCTCGAAGCTTCTTGCTTCCCTTTCTCAGGCCCAACCGTGCTGAGAAACTGAATGCCCCCTGCTCTAAATCCATCTGATCTGAACTTTACTCATGAGTTCTTCAAACTCTTGGCTTCTATCATTGGAACACTGATCGGTTTATTGGTGATCATACAGCTGTGCCATGGATGCCAATCTATTACCACCTGGGCCATTTGACACTACCAAGAGTTCCAGTGTATCCACACAATCCTCCAAAATGTCACACCAGACCTCTCCCTCCACAACATCCCTGCCTCTGTCCAAAACTCTGTCTGACACCCCAAAGAAACAGAAGATGAGTCTAAGGGCTCGACTGAAGAACGTTCTAGAGAAGAGGAGGAGCAGCAGTGGCAATACAAATATCCCCCAAGACCCCCATCAGCAATCATCTGAGACCCTGGAAACCCTTGGGCTACAGGATTTCAATGACCCTGACCCGACACCCCCATCCCCTCCCTTGAGCACAGCATCTCTGCATCAAGAACCACTGTCGCCCAGTCTGGAATTGGATGCCGGGCTAGAGACTCTCTGGATGCCATTTGGATGGCTCCAAGCACCAGAAGTACCAACAGGCATCAACCCTGACATGCCTCATCAACAAGAAGCAGTGGAAGGGGAACAAGGGTCAGTAGTCCCAACCCCTTCTTTGATGACACCAACAGGGACAAGGTCCGATACTGGCAAGCAGCATCAAGAGTGGCCAGCAGACTGGAACAGAGAGGAGCCTCATGCCTACCAAGGCATGATCCAGTGGTACCAAACCCAATATGACCAACCCCCCAGTCCCTCGCCGAGTTCCTCAACAGACAGGTATGGACTGACCACCAGGCCAGTCACCAGCATGCCCCCCATAGGCAGCACCTCCAGGTCCAAAACAGGGCCGGGACCTCTGAGAGCTCCCAATGCACCACCACAATCGGCACTACCAACTCTCCATTCTGGAAACCTGCCACTCCTGCCAGTGAGCCTGACTCTTGGACTGGGGCAACTGCCGGGACTGTCCATGCCGACGACTACCACTGCAGGGAGCCAACACTCCTTGATGATGACCACCCGTTATCATATGGGATGGACACCATTGCCGAGACTGATGATATCCCTGTCTGGGGAAATAGGATACCGTCAGACTGGGAAACAATCAGGGGCGATGATGAGCATATTGACCCCACTGGGGACCTCAAAAGGGTCCTCGACAGGCCAATCGCTGATCTCTTTCTTTGTCCCTGGTTCTATAGAAACTTCCACTGGTATCGCAGAGCAGTGGTGCCGCCAGCAGAAGGAGAAGAAGAGCAGCCCAACTGGGAGTCTACTTCTTGACCTGGACCTGATGACACCGAGTCAAGTACTCAACCCCAACCCACTCACCCTGGAAACCTTTGGCCAGCAAGGCAGTTCCCTCCTTGAGAGGACCACCGACAAGGGGGCCGAAGGGGATGACGAGGCCAAGGAGGAGGACCAAAGCAGCTGGGCAGTGGACCTCATTCTTGAGTGGGGATCTATCATCAGCACAACCATGCACCAAGAACAGGAGAAGAAACAATGGGAAGTGAACTGGTAAGGGTCCAAGTACCAGAATGGGCAAGCAGATTGACATGGACTGCCTCAAGAAGGATGGGAAGTGCTTTAATTGTGGCCAACCAGGCCACATGGCATAAAATTGCCCAGAGAAGAAGAACAAATGCATGTGGGAGGATATCAGGGCACAGATTGCTGAATTGATGAAGGAGGAACAGGACCTTGGAGATGATGACAAACCTGAGGAGGTAAAAGATGGGGCCGAGCAGTAGGCAATTCGACTGCCTCAGCCAAGGACAAGAGTAATAAGGGACAGACTAATATTTCTCCTTCTATAGTTTTCACTCCTATGTCTAAATTATGCATGCATTCAAATATACCTGACCCTATTACTCAGAACCCAGAATCGCCTAAGGAACCAACTTCAATAACTCAAGCGCTGATGAAGGGCTGAAGAGAGGCAGAGAGCCCCAAAGATGCATTGTCATCATCAGTTCATCAAGCTAAAAAAACGAAACAGGCTCAATTGCCTTCAGGCCAAACAGGGGCAGAGGGCCCCACAATGTGGCTCAAGCCATTCAATACCGAATGGACTTGGCAAGCCATCAAAGATGCCAAGGATGAAGCAGTGGCAAAGGCTATACTCAAAAACTGAGTACACAAGACTCAAGCTGAAGAAGTAATCGACGAGATGATCACTGGAATGAAAGCTGCAGAATGGTGTCGAGCCCTGGAGTGGCTTGATGAGTTACATGGACCACGAAAATTCATTTGATGCACCAAAACCTCAGGATGCGATTTATTGACCAAAACCAAAATCGAGACATTAACATCTTGATCAACCCATACAGTCTCTGCCTTGATCGACAGTGGCTGTACGGGAAGTAGTATTAATCGAGCTTTCGTCAACAAGCACCAATTGTCCACTTGGGCAATGGCAGCACCCATCCCTGTTTACAACGTGGATAGAACCAAGAACCAAGCTGGCTCAATCACCGAATATGTTGAGCTTAGGCTCACCATTGGTGATCATTTGGAATGAATTGAATTGGCCATGACAGATCTAGGAACCAAAGAAATATTCCTCAGTCATGATTGGCTAATCAGACACAACCCATTAATCAACTGGAAGACCGGATGCATCATTTTTGCTCAATGCCATTGCTGGGGGATTCCATTTGAATTACTGGATAATGACCCTGAGGATCGATGGGATGAAGAGATGGAAGATGGCGAAATGATTCTTGCCGTTGACCCCCAAAGGGCCATTAGCATTAAAGCAATGCACCATGCTAATGACCTAGCAGCAAAAGCCAATGCAGAGAAAGAGGAAAGAACATTCAAGGAAATGGTATCCACATGGGCCTGTGACTTCTGGGATTTATTCGAAAAGGAAAGTTTTGATGAACTACCTGATGCAAAGCCCTGGGACCATGCTATTGAACTAATCCCTAACTCTAACACCAATCTTGATTGCAAATGCTACCCATTAAGCAATAACAAACAACAAGAACTGGACAAGTTCCTCCAGGAAAACTTGTCCAGTGGAAGGATCCAGCCATCAAAGTCACCAATAGCATCACCTTTCTTTTTCATCAAAAAGAAGGACAGGAAACTCTGACCAGTACAGGATTATCGGAAGCTGAACGAGATGATGATCAAGAATCGTTATCCACTTCCTTTGATCATGGAGTTAATGGACAAACTCCAAGGTGCTAAATATTATACCAAATTGGATGTCTGATGGGGATATAACAATGTGTGCATCAAAGAAGGTGATGAGTGGAAGGCTGCTTTCCAAACTAACTGTGGTCTCTTTGAGCTGATGGTTATGTTCTTCAGACTCACCAACTCGCTGGCCATCTTTCAGTGGATGATGAATGACATCTTTAAAGATCTCATTGCCACAGGGAAAGTAACCATTTATTTGGATGACATTCTCATTATGTCCAAAACCAAGGAGGAGCACCAAAAGATAGTACGACAAGTACTATCCTTGATGAGGAAGCACTGACTCTTTCTCAAGGCTGAGAAGTGCAAATTCAAGGTATTAGAGATGGAATACCTTGGAGTCATTATCAGCAAAGGAAGTATCAGAATGGACCCTATCAAGATCACAGGAGTAACTGAATGGCCAGAACTGACAAAGAAGAAGGAACTACAATCATTCCTCAGATTCACCAACTTCTACTGACAGTTCATCCAAAATTACAGCAAAATAGTGTGACCAATGATGCAATTAACCAGAAATTCCCCATGGACTTGGGGAATTTCCCAGCAGGAAGCATTCAATAACTTTAAACACCAACTAGCTGAAGACATCATCCTGGCAATCCCTAGTCAGGATGGAAGGTTCCAGGTAGAAGCTGACTCTAGTGAAGGCATGATCAGAGCCATACTCTCACAGGAGCAAGATGGCAAATGGCGACCTGTCGCCTTTATATCAAAAGTGCTCACAATAACTGAATGCAACTATGAAATTTATGACAAGGAGCTTCTAGCCATAATGTTTGCTCTTGCTGAATGGTGGCATTATCTCATTGGAGCCAGTCAAACATTCAAGATCTGGACTGATCACCAAAATCTCCAATACTTCTGACAACCCCAAAAGCTTAATCGAAGACAAGCCAGATGGGTCACAGAATTATCAGAATACATCTACACTCTGCATCACAAAGCTGGGGTAGCAAACAAAAAGGCTGATTTCCTCAGCTGCAGGGTGGATCACAACCAAGGAGGAGATGACAACAAGGAGGTCATACTACTACAACCAGAACATTTTTGCACAATGATTATGCCAACAGAAGAAGAGATGCATGAACGAATCAAGAGTGCTACTCGGGATTCCCACAAGTGAGATCAAAGAATCACCCTGTCACTCAACCATGAGTGAGGGCTGAAAATAGACAAGAGGCTAATCTTCTATGATGGAAGAATCTACATCCCAAGGGATCAAAGGCTTCGAGGTGATATCATCACCACCTATCATGATCACATGACCACTGGACACCCCAGGATTGCCAAAACCAAAGAATTAGTCTTGAGGGAGTACTGGTGGCTGAAAATGGACCATGATATCACCTGATATGTCAAGGCTTGTGAGGCAAGACTTCAACACAACCCAGAGCAGCTCCACTGCACCTGAATGAGGTCCCTTCATCACCATGGACCCACATCTCAGTAGACATGATAACGGGACTTCCCGAAAGTGATGGCTATGATGCAATCATTGTCATAGTCAATCGCTTCTCAAAAGCGATCATTCCAATTGCCTGCTCAATGGAATTAACATCTGAAGGATGGGCGAAAATACTACATGACAAGGTGTATGCAAAGTATGGCATGCCCCAGGTAGTCATTTCAGACAGAGGACCACAATTCGTCTCCAAGTTCTTGGACAACCTATACCGACTCCTGAATATCAAACAAAACGCCTCAATGGCCTATCACCCACAGATGGATGGCCAAACGGAACAAGCCAACCAAGAAATTGAAAAGTACCTTAGACTTTTCATTAGCTATCAACAAGACGATTGGACTGAATGGCTAGCATTGGCAGCATTCCAACATAACAACAGAATTCATGCAGCAATGGGGAAAACACCGTTCTTTGTGAATTATGGATGAAACCCACCAGTTGTGCAAACAGGATGGGTTCACACCACAACACCAGTATCAAAGGATTTTGCAACAACAATGACGAAGATCCATGAAGAAACCAAAACTGCTCTCAAGAAGGCTGCTTCAACAATGAAGAAACAATATGACAAACATCAACAAGCAGCACACTAATATTCAACCAATGACAGGGTTTGGCTGGATACAAGGAACCTTCACCTACCAAGGCCAAAACAGAAACTGGCAGACAAATGAACAGGCCCATTCAAAGTCATGGCAAAGATAGGAAATTCTGCATACAGGTTACAACTCCCGACGACCTGGAGAATTCATAATGTTTTCAATGAAACACTATTGACACTATACATGGCACCAGCCTTTCCAAATCAAGAATGACCACCTCCACCACCAGCAGAACTCATCGATGATGAAGAACACTATGAAATCGATGAAGTTCTAAACCACAAAACTCAAAAGGTTAAAGCACGAGGTGGAGGTATGAAAACAACTGTTGACTACTTAGTCAGCTGGAAAGGCTATGGACCAGAATCAAATCAATGGATCAACGAAAAACACATGAATGCAGAAGATGCCATTCAGGACTACAAACACAGAATCAATAAACTGGACATGAAGGGGGTCATGTTCAACATTATATCTGCAAAAACAAATGTGGTGACAACAGGGAAGGAGATGTTATCTAGCCAGATATACATCAACCAACCTGCTGACAACAAAGGACATGTTACAGAGGACGATGAAGATGACCCTGCGATGGATGAGCCAGAAATAGTGGAGACATACAGTGAAGAGCAATGTACCATGCCTTCGACTCATTTGAAGCCTGCTGTTGAAATGACAAGAGGTCCAGCAGATCAGCCACCTCCTTCTGGCAGGGATGACTTACCCTAACTAAACCATTGGGATGATGGTCTTAAGGAGGGGGTAATGTTATGATTTTTCCTATTTTCTTTTCTTTCTTCTCAGAAATGACCCCTATCTTTGCTTAGTCAGGGCACTTAGACCAGCACTTAGGACCATGG